ACTCATGGTGAGTGCCTGATAAAACATATTTTATGTCTAGATTTCTAGTTTTATTTTCATTTATAAACACTTTTAATATGCTTTGTTTTTATAGTTTTTACCATTTTTTACTTATTGGAATAAATTGGGCCTATTACAAATAAATGCTTTAATTTCGTATTTTTTGGTAATTCTAACATCTGACTACTCTTTCGGCCATAACTTTTTTTACAGATATTATTTTTGGATGATTCTAGTTTCATTTGGATTTTACACATCTAGGGCTTTAAAATGCATATATCGATCGCTAGATTTGGAGTTGTTTTCAATTTTTTATGATTTTTATAAGTTGAGACAGATTTGCTGAATATTTTTGCAAGATTGCATTTGGACTCTTTTTATTTAATAATTGTATTTGGGCTTTTAGATATTATTGAGGCCCAAATTTTGGCTAATTATTTTACCCTAATCAGAATTTATAAATAAACTAATGAGATTCTAAATTAGTGTGTGCGTGTTTGCGTATGTGATTAGACACTATGAGCTTTTGAGACTAGGCTAAAATAAGAATCCTTGTTTCTACTTTCTCTCTAAATCTTTCGTTCTTTTCTCATTCTTGCGTGGGTTAAGTATTTTGATGGAAGGTTAAACCTCTCGTTCAATCCGTGGAATCCAAACGTTGTAGTTTCGACTTGAGTTCTATGCTAATTGCTCGAAGTTTGTTTTCTTTTTCTCTTTAATCTCATAATTGTTTATTGCGATCGTGATTAACTTTTCTGTTGTTAGATTTTAAATTAGGACTCGATTGATGCTCTAATTTGATAATTAATGCGAATTAGGTTAAATGATTATTTGATTTAATTCGTAACTCTATTCAATTAGGTTATTTGATTGAATTAATAATTAAATTGGGTGATTGTTCAAACGTGGATTTAAATCTTTAGATATTGTGATAGTCGGAGTTACACGCAATTGATATTCTGTGGATTGATATTTCTTAATTCATTTTTTACTCACTTTAATTCTGTTCATAATTTAATTTGATTAATTGCAATTTTCAAAACCCTAAAAATCTCATTTGCATTTTATAAAAGAAAAATAAAAATTGAATTTGACTGAAAATGTGTCTCCGTGAATCGACCTAGGTTTGGCTCTATACTACAAAATCTTTAGAAAACTTAGTTGTTTTAATAGTGACTCGGCAATCGTCTATCAGTGCCATAGCAAGATACAAAATGAAATTACAAGAAGAGGAAAAGATGGCGAAGGCTCCTTGTTCCTAAGCAATCCCTTCCCCACGTCTTCCTTGTGCTCTATTTTCTCTTGGATATCTCTCTTGATCTCTGTTCGTCTCCCTTTTTCTTCCCCCAAATCTCCCTTTTATACGCACATGTCTTTGAAATAAGAGAAATTTGAGATTTTTAATTCTGCCTGCAGCTATGGATTCACGGCTGTAGCTGTAGACATCTGGACTGCCCTAATTACTTTGTCTTCTCACAGCTGCAGCTATAGATTCATAGTCATGGCTGTAACTCTCTGGAATTCTCGTTTTATTACAGAATTTCGTGGCTGCAGCTGTGGATTTGGGCTGTAGCCATGAACTTGAGACTTTATCAAATTCTGCACAAAAAGAAAAATATTTTAAAACAAAATACTACCACTCTTGTGACTTCTTGAATTAGATTAATTTACCTACTTGGGGGATTAATATGCCCAGAATTATTTACATTTTAACCCAAAAAGAGTGTTAAATTAATGATAAAACATGAATTTCTAGCACTTAACAAAATCTTATCCTATTTTAGTAATTCAAAACTTACATGCACAAAGATTTCTTATTTACTTATTGATCTTTTACCTATTTTACTCAATAATTAATGATATTTCTATATTTATATAGAAGAAATCATTTAAATAAATATTAGGGTGTTATATCATTTATTAATCTTGAAAAGGTCCTGAAGATGATGGGCACTACTATTATTTTCAGCTACAATTTGGATATTCCCTAAGTAGTCAAGCCTATCTTTACTAGCTCTATATTCTTATCATTATCAGGGGGTCTGTCTGAGTAAACAGTAGCAAGCATATGATGGAACTTCTAATGATAAGTAGAATTAAGATCAATTAAATTATGGACAAAACACGCATAATTAGTATTCTCCTATAATTCTATTTGGATTCCATTCATTAGGATCAAGGCATCTAAACTCTCATGATTAACTTTCTGCTGGTTACCCTCAATGTTATAGGGTTCATTGAAATTTCCTAGATGAGGAATAACCTCTCTATCTTTTTCTAGATTACCAAATTTAGCCTACTGTTTTTTATTTATTTTCTTATGTAAAGAAGACCTTATACCATTATTAGGTTTGTGATCCAAATTAGTTGTATGTGAATCATTACTACAATTTTATTTAGGATTGAGGGGACCAAACATCTAAAGAGATTTGGGAGGACTATCTTGACTGAAATCTTGGGTAAAGGCACCTAAGATATCAAACCTAAGTAAGACTCCTTACCTTTGCCATTATTAATTGGATTATTATTGTAGGTTTCTTCTTAAAAGGTTTCTTTGCTAGCATCTAAGGACCAAACTAACATGTATCATTACTATTGATCCTCTCATGACTAACTTGAGTATGCTCATAGTCTTGACCTTCTATCATAGCAGATCCCTTATGTTGTTTTCCAAACTTCAAATCATCATTACCCATTAGAGACTTATTCTCATTATTATGATTAGAGTTTGTTGTGCACATCTGCTTATGACCATACCTCCCACAATTAAAACAAATTAGGTGCAAACCTTTATATTCTACCCTAAACTCCTGACCTAAAACTCGAAAAGAAGGAATAAAAGTTTTCCTAAAATTTATTTCTATACAAATCCTAGCAAACCTACCCTTGGCTAATAAAGATGTGTGGGGTCAATCTTTAACATTGACCCCAGATAGTTTTTCACCTGCCACAAGAACTTTTCATTGTACAGTTCCAAAGGAAGGTCTGCTAAGCAGCAATATTTCTTAGATTATAGTCTTTAGGTCTGAATAAGAGCTTCCATCTTTGAATAAGAAGGTATTGGTTTAGAATAAGCCACGATCCCTTAAATAAGACTTTCTCATAGTCCTCTATGTTCTCAAATTTTAATAGGAAGAACTCATTGTTGAGGTCCAGAATTTTTAGGGAACCATGTTTTCCCCAAAGATTATTTAATTTCATATGTAAGTAGCTAAAGGTTATAGTTTTTCCTATAAGCTTGACTATTAACGTGAATTTCCATAAGAAACACCAGTTTTCATAGTCTTCTATTGGTATTTTCAACCTAGGGCATAGATCTTGAACTTTATCCTAAATTTCGCAAGTTCCTTGTTATCGGATATCATATTAAAATCCTCTAGGACAGATTTTCTAATTTCTTCTTCTCCTAGGACTAGATCTAGGTCTTTACATTCAAGAATTTTTTCTTTATAAGAAATAGACTCAGATCTAAAAGATTTTGAAGGCATCTGATCTGCTTGCATGTCCACAAAAATCTCCTCTGTATGTTCATGCTGCTTCCCTCCAAGAAAGCGTCGTTGTCCACCTTCACCTTCTTTGTGCTTTTGTTCATCTGATCTAGCTCCTCAGTCGAGTGTTTTTTAGCTTTTAATTGATCCATCCTGCCAGAACCACTCGAAAAGTGGTCTCCTTTGGTCAACCCCTTCGAACTCCTTCATCCTTGCAACCCCGCAACTCTCAAGCTCAAAGTGTGAATAGGAACAATGAACCACTAGTGTAAGAAGCCCCGTCAAAGTCGCACTCCCTCTCTTTCTCTTTCTTTAAACTCGATAAATGAATCTTGGAGCATGCGTCCTTTGTACGTTTTTACTAATGTCGTAGTAATTCTTTCATTTCTAATAATTAAATTAATGTTATCCAATATAGAGTGTTAAGTTTTTTCATTTACAATTTTGTGGGTTAACATTAATAATGAATTATTTAGAATACATTATATTAATTTTGAAATATAATAATAATATAACTTAATTATGTTTAAATGGATAATTATTTATTGGTCCTTAATTAAAAATAAACATTGATGGATTGGACTATTCAATTTAGGACTAATGAGATTTTTCTTCTCCTATCTTACATGTATTCCCCCATCAACACAGTTTATTAAGTGCACTTTACAAAACCCTGGCTGCCAAACAAAGTAAAGTCCTCCTCGCTTTTGCATTTGGTGTGCCACTATAACGAGATTAATGACTATAAATTACTATTTAAGTATATAAGAATCTCATTATGACATGCTATAATATTGTCATCGTTTGAATGGTTTAGTTTATCTCTCATTCATATTTAGTAATTAATCAATGACTATGGTAGCTTGAAATGGGTCATCAATGCACTATTCTTGCCATTATTTTGAGAGTAGGACACTTGTGGTTAAAGATATATTGCCTCAATTCCTTTTTTAATTAAATTGCAATGTTTATAAACTGTCCAAGAAGCCTATTAGATAAATAACCATTGACGTAGCACAATCGTTAACTTAATTTAATATTAATTTATTGTTAGATATGTAGTGTCTATTAATGGACTAAAACTTATTAGTACTGTTGAAGAAAATTTCATATCTCATCCAAGTTACTCTATTTAACAATTTTTATGAACATTAAATTATAATAATTATACCTTAAACAATGTGATATTAATGTGTTAATCGTGTACAACAAATTTTAAATAAATTAAATATTTATAAACATTTAAATTAATAGTCAATATCTCTTTATATTTTAAAAATATATATCGATGAAATGTCCAATAATTTTTTATTTATATAAAATTTTGTCCACTTTATCTTTTAATAAAATATTTCTATTCAATCATTAGAGGAGTAAAAATTAATATTTTAAAATGCCGGTCACCAGCAGGTCTTCACTGAAAGAGCATTTCTGTGATTAAGTAATAGAAAGTAGGTCAGAAATGTCCACTGAATAATTTCATGGCACATGCGTAAATAATCACAAGTTCGTTGAAACCCAACTAACTCGGGTTCGTTGTTTTTCTTCTTCGATACCTTACTTCGTATTTGGGAAGCTCTGTTGCTTTAGCCACCACTCTCCTCCGATCAATCTCCGGCGACCCTTCCGATCATTCTCCGGTTCGATTTTCTATCAGCCTCAAAGCATTTTATGTCCATCCACCTTTTTAACCATCTCTTTCATCAAATTGCTCACTATTTTATGAGATTTCAATTTTTGCAAAAAAAATTTTGAAAATATCGATATGTAGGAATTGGAGACGGAGAATTACGAAAATTTCTTTATAAACACACATAAGTGTGTGTTTTTGTGAAATTAACGTGTAAATAATTGAGGTTTTTGTTTCTTGTATTGGATCTGATTTATTGGAATTGGAAATGCAGGACTGAGAAATTGGGAACGATGAGTGAGGTATTTGAAGGGTACGAGCGTCAATACTGTGAACTATCTGCGAATCTTTCGAGGCAATGCACTGCAGCCTCTTCTCTTGATGGAGGTAATGCAATCTCATTGTTATGTTTATACTCGCTCTTCAAAACTTTTTATTTTGTTGAGGTTAATGGTTGGAAAACTATAGAAATAAGATGATAGGGTTGTTTCCTTTTATGCTTTTTACTAAAGATATTCAAATGCTTCTCTTTCGATGTTTGATTTTATGCGTATTGGAACTGGTGGATGTAACGTGTAATGTTTTATATTATCTTATAATTTCCGTTTTGCTAGTTTCAGCAGATGCAATTATGATATGAGTATGTTGTTTGGTCATACATCAAAGGCTTGCTAAATGATGAAGAGCATTTCCTTATGAAAAATTATTTACGAGTAATACATCGAATAAGTCCCTAAAATTATAAACACTAGTTAATTTAGTCCTTGACATGATACAAAAGAAAATTTAGTCCTTGACTTTCACTATTGTCAGTAAAATTTAGTCCTTGAAATTGACATCACCTATCAGCTTGGCTCCTAACATTACAAAATCAATCAATTTAGTCCCTAATTTTTTACAAACATTATTACTTTGATTCTTAAATCTGACAACCATTAGTTGATTTAATCCTTAGCAATTGGGATCAGATTGACTAATGGGCGACAACGTGAGAGACTAAATTGACTAATATGCACCTAAGTCATGGATCAGAATGACTATAAATGTCAAACTTGGAGATTACAATTTGAAGGACTAATTTGGTAGTTTACTCATTTATTTATATTGATATAATTTTCATTGAACAGGCTTAAGGCTTTAAGATTATTTATCAAGGATGCAATTTTTTTTATCAACCCCCCTCCCCAACAAATGACACACACACACAAAAATAAAAGCAAGGAGAAGAACTTTATCCTTTTCTCTCTAATTAATGTTTGCCAGTTCCCATTTTGTGCTGCAGAGCAAAAGAAGCAGAAACTTTCTGATATAAAGGCTGACTTAGATGACGCTGATGCATTGGTATAATAGGACTTCTCCTCCTCCTCATCGTCATGTTTGATTCTATTATAATTCATGCTTGAATATATTCAGATTCGGAAAATGGACCTAGAGGCTAGGAGTTTGCAGCCAAGTTCGAAGGCATCTCTTCTTGCCAAGTTAAGGGAATATAAGACTGATTTGAACAATTTGAAAAATGAAGTTAAAAGAGTAACATCAGCTAATGTCAATGTCACTGCTCGAGATGAGTTGTTGGAGTCGGGAAGGGCTGATACATTTGCGGTATCTTTCTTATCCATCATTCATGTTAATCGATGCAACATTCCTATTTTTGAACTTCGAGCTTAGATTACTAAAATATGTAAGAAGATGAAGATACTAGTTGGGAGATCTGATATCAGGATTGGCCGGTGACTTCTTTTGTTCTAAAGGCTTTTTGGTAGTGAAAATGATAAATATCTCCCAGCCAAAGCAGGCCAGTATATAGGTGTCCAAGCCAGTAGTAATGCATGGTACATTCATAAAACTTAAAAGGATTGAAGTCTTCTATTTCTTAGGGGTGGCAAGTGGGAGACATTACATGATGCCGATTTTCGGAATCTCAACTTTGGATTCTTTGATAGTGGCAAATTCACTTGCATCTCAATATTATTTATGTACAGTGCATGGATAGATGTAAATATTTTTGCCCTTTACATTTACTGTGCATTCTCATTGCTACTTATGGATGCTAGGACAGGTATCAAATGATCAAAGAGGAAGACTTTTGATGTCTACTGAAAGATTAAATCAGTCCACTGACAGAATAAAGGAGAGCAGAAAAACAATGTTGGAGACGGAGGATCTTGGTGTCTCTATCCTCCAAGATTTGCATCAACAGCGCCAATCTCTACTCCATGCCCATAAGACGGTAAGTTTTACCACTGACTAGTTCCTAATGACACTTTGTAATGTATTGGACCCCTTCAATCCAGATGATTTAGCATTTGATAAGCTCAGCTAACAGATGTACTTATAAGCACTCGACTACTTAAATTTGTTTTTGCTGTAAGAATCAATCTGATCTCAAGCATGTCAAATCGATTTTTCCCAATACTTTCCCTGTTTGGGCGAACTTATAGATAAGTCTTTGTAAGAGAAGAAAAACAATTTATAAAATGAATAAAACTTCTTCCATAGGTTAAAAATAACTTATCTATTCAAGTTTTGGAGAAGTTAAATAAGAGTAGCTTCTAAAAAGTAGAGAACTATAAGTTAATTTTAATTTATAAAAGGTGTTTTTTTTCATATGATTTTTCTTTTCTTATAAGGACTTATCTACAAGCTCACCCAAACAAAGCCTTAGTCCAGGTAGGTTGTCAAGGCTGAAATACTAATTGTTTTTCCCATTTAGCTCCATGGAGTGGATGATAACATTAGCAAGAGCAAGAAAATTCTGGCAGCCATGTCAAGAAGGATGAGCAGGAACAAATGTATTGTTGGCTCCTTAATAACAGCTCTGGTCCTTGCAATTATAATCATTCTATTTTTTAAACTGACTCATTAGCCTGCCATCTTTGCTTATTATGTGGTTTAGCTACATCTCAGATTGGGGTGTATGTTGCCGAACCATGTGACTGTTTAAAGAGTACTGTGAGCAATAGTTCTCACTTATTTCTCTTTTTACCAGTAAAATTCTTTCATTCGAGTTGGTAAATCAATATTTTACTAAATTTACAAAAATGTAAATTTTTCCAAAAACAATACATATTTTTATCATAGCATATACACTACATCTCTACTTCATCGTACTCTTACCTCCTGATTCATGGCACATGGGAAACGATCCTAGTATATTGCAGAATCCGATTTTTGATTCGTTAAATTGACAATTCACATTCAACAGTATATATAATACCAATTTTCTTTGAAAACTATGATTTCATTCGACCTAGAGTCCCTTGACCATGTAAGTAGTCCTAGTTTTGATGTTAAGTTTCAGATATTTGAAAAAAACAATGACAAAATTCGTATTTTTTTTCTTCTAAGTTTAAGGTTAGTTTAAATTTTATCTTTTATTTTTTATCATTCAATTTTGTTCTATAACTTTCATTTTCATAACAAGTAAGTTCTTTCATTATAATGGTATTAAAATCTTCCTGAAAATTGAAATTTTGATCAAATAATGAATTAGGTCATCTTAATGCTTCTAACTTTCTTTGTATAAACAACAAAACAAAACAAAATTTAGTAAGAAAACAACATTAATGACAAAAAAAAGTCGCTAAAAAAATTTGATCAATTGTTTTCAAAATAAAAAGATTCCATATTTGAACCAAGAAAAACGATCCAATTCTTTGTCATTTAGCTAATAAAACCACAAAATTTTAGTATATTAATTACAACTCAGCATATAGAAAAACTTATCAATTAATTTTACAAGTAATTAAAAGAGAAAAATAAGTGTTCAAAGTTAAAGTAAGACAAAAATAATCTTAATTCTCACTTAGATATCATTTTTAACCAAGGAGACGTCCATCACAATCTAATGTTAAGAGGAACCCTTCAATTAATTTCAATAATTATTGGAAAATAATTTTAAAAAAAATTAACTAGATTTATCGCAATTGTATCGAGTAATTCAATTTCAATAATTATTGTAAAAAAATTCAATAAAATTTCGAGGAGATTCAGTACAATTATAACAAAAAAGAAAAAACTAACCTAATTTGAAAATAAAAGTTAAAGATCTAATTGAACTAAAAGAAAAATTAATGAAATTGAAAGCAAGACAAAAATACTACTAATATAACCTTGAAAATGTATTATCAAGAAGTCTTAACTTTTTGTGTTGACCATACACTTTAAATTTATCTAATTACGCAGACAATATGATCAGGGGTGAAATCAACTTCGTACAAAATATTAAAAAGGGTAAAATTTTGAGAAACGTTTGATTTAAGAATTTCTTTTATTTTTACTTTTAATTACAAAAAGATTGCCTCATTTTCATTGTTTTTAAAATTTTGTATAAGAAACAGTAAAACTTTTTGTTTCCATTGTTTCATATACAAATATCTGAACACAAATAACAAAATAATATTTTTATAATTAAAATAAAAAATTAGACATTTTCTAAAACCAAGTAGCACCTAGGTTTTTCATAGTTGTGATATTTTCAAGTACCAAAATTAATCTAAGATGGTAAGCCAAAAATAGAGTAGTTGTAAAAGAAATTTTGGAAGGTAAGATGATTTGAATGGCTGTGAAATTTTGTTCGAAAGTAAAATTTTAGACAAACAATTCTTTCTCAGGTCACCTTTTTTAATATGTCTAGGCATTTCTCCATGAAAATAAGCAGCCACAACCTGCTTGTAACTGTTCCAATAATACATAAGCATGATATATTTTCAACAGCGTTTGACATAACCAGCAGGATGTAATACCTTCCGAAAGAGCTCAGTAGGATTGATCATTTAAAGAACTGAGCATTCAAAAATGACCGAGCAAGTTTTTGTTTCAACTATAAATGATGAGGGGACTCATTGAATCAGCACCCCAGATATGTGAGAGCATATGCTCATCAATTGATGCTTTGGTAAGAACATTCCATCGAAGCAAGGAACAAGGCAGATCCTTTTGACAGTACAATATTAGTAGAGTAAGGATTGATTGGCCTTTCGTCCTCGAGTCGACACAGCAATTGGACATACTCAAGCAACCTCAGGAGATGAATCTCTTGCACCCTGTTCATCGTCATCTTCTTCGTCATCTTCATCATAGTCAATGGATGCAGGTTGTCCATTAAGGTCCACATTAGCACCATTCAACTTTCTGACAAACTGTCCCCTCACTCGTGGCCGCCTTTCAGCAAGTCGTTTCCGGTTAACATACCTAATTTTCTTATCAAAGCAGCGCTCTTTCCTTTTCTGCCTGAACTTCATCAATGCTGCTTCTCTCCTATCAACCTTACTTAATTTTGCTTCAGATGAACTTGAGCTTCCAAATGATGGCCATGAATGAGCCGCAGGAATCTGACCAGGTTGTAAGCATATACTCATTGGGTAATATGGGAAGGATGTCATCCCCGTTGCATGAGGGCCACCTTGGGGAAGATGATTGTACTGCGCAATCATAGATGTATTAGGATGATTTTGCATGTCCTGGATATTCTTTTGATACATTTGCGCAGATGAAGGCATCATAACATGATTTACAACTCCTGAAATATAATATGGATAAGCATGTTGGGAGGCCATGCCAGAAACTTCAAGCTCGGAACAGCGAGTCCCATTTCTTGGATGCATCACACACTGACGTAAATTTTCTTCCTTGTAGTGCTTTTGCTGTGAAACTTCCATTGATGCCGGTGGAGTACAAGACCTCTCAATAGAGAACGAATCAGGTATACTATTGCAGCTGGGTAAGTCATCTTGCGATTGACTTTCACATGTCTCTCCATTTTCACGAACTGGAATGTCATTAGCCCCTTGTTTAGCACATGCTTGATGCATAACTTCCATCCTCACATGTGTAGCACCATTGTTGTCAACATTAACAACCCCTTCAAAGTTTCTCTTCAGTATTGATGCTTTAACATATGTGAAGAAGGCCGATGATTCTCCAATCCTTAGTTCACTCTTCTTTGGACCAGAAGAAAAATGAGCTACAAAATTACAGCAAATTAGTGGAAAAACAATAAAAGTGAAATGGGGTATTTACGTAAGTCAAATTTTGTTCAACCTCAAGAACTCAAAAATTCCTTTCAGATTGAAGGCATTCTTAGAATTGAAAAGTAGAGCTATATTTCAGGCAAGCTACAACAAGTGATTCTGTTACATGAACAAAATTTACTAAAAGGTGAGAAAAGATGGGAAAATCCAAAATTTATTACCTATTTATTACTTACATCATTTTATGATCCTACAATCATATGAAGAACTAGTTGGTGTCACAATGTTATTGTAAAAAATAATATATCATTTATTGCTTTTAAAAAATGCCCAATGAAGAAGAGGCACACCTGTTCTTTGATCATTGATTCCATGCACATCAGGCCGATATTCTGATGGACGAGCATCAGGAGGTTCCTCAACAGCAGCAGCAATTGCAACAGTCGACTGAAAAGATAAATTACATGCATAAATGACCACAAACAACAGCATCCCTTATTTGAAGTTATTAGCAGCTATATAATAATGTCCACTCATAAAGCTTAAACACGAGTAGCTGACTGATAAATTAATTACAAAAGTCATGTCAATCTCAATCTTTTTCACTCCTAATTTAATATTCCTCTCTTATAGTTTTGTAGTTTTCAATAAATTTTAGCTAATAACTCTTGAGTGTGTTTAAAAGAGTGTCTTAAATAGTGTTACGAGCATTCCTCATTTGATTAATGCTATGTCTAAACCCATTTACACTTGTAAATAACTTCAATTCCTTTCTACACTGCTGGATTACCTCTGGATCTGTGTGGAGGAGACACACCACCACTTTTCTATACACTCCACATGTAATCCAATGGTTCTAGACAATAGCTGTGCACAGGACACATCACCATTTTTCTACAGTCATGAACCAACTATCAAACAAGCTTAAGATGTTAGGTAAGACACATGCATAGTTGTTGTGCGTTACATCTCCAACATGCCACTTCGATGGCAAGAGTCCTCTAGGTTTCACACAAAAAATAGACGACCGATTTACAACCTTCTATAAGAATGGGGATGGCTCCGATTGAACTATATACTGCTTACCATATTATGAACCAACTTCCCAGTAGGTTATGCTATTAAGTAAAGATACATGAATAGTTTTATATTACATCTCTAACACACTCCTAGTGTGATAATGGCTCTCCAAATAGTTCTGACTCCTTTTCTTTCTTATTAGTTTCAGTGAACATAGTTGTGACATTTATATCTTCAATATGAAGATTTAATTTTCAAAGTATTACTTCATAGAAGATTTTTTAAATGGTTTCCATGCCAATGCTGCTTAAAAGTGGTATTGAGGTATTAACTTATTTATGACTTGAATCAGAACCATAGCTTGAGCTCTTTTAAACATGATCATTTTGCCTATACTGTGTAATCATCAATTTGTATTACCTATAATTCCTGGGGGATTATAATTCAATCTCTAGACTGACATCAGACTAGATGTCACCTTCAAATTGAAAGAGAATATGAAAACTCAGGAGGCATGTCAATGTCAAAGTTTACAGTCTGAAAGGCAAAACTATTTGCAAACTATGCCCAAAGCTGAATAAAAATATCACCTCTTCATAGATAAATTGAATTTCAAAGTTTTCCATGATTCACAAACTCATTGGTTTGTGATCATGTTGATCCCATTGATTATTGCATTCTTGCATTATTTAAATACTTTTTATTAACATTCACCTCTTGCTCTTGTTGAACTGATATTCCTGTCTCTGGATTTGTGCTTCTCTTGGACTTGTCATCTGTGTCATCAGAGAACAAGGTAGTACTGTTTGTATTGGCATCACTAGGGTCTGATGCTACCAGATCAAAGTCATAAGTCAAGATGTTCTTCTCTACTAGTCCAAGCTGCGAGCATAGATATAAAATATAATTTCAATTTCAAATTGGAAAGGCATGGAGGTAAATTGAGAGAAAAGTATCATGAATGTTTTGATGCAAAGAGCCAGATTAAGATAGAGTAAAGGGGAGAGGCCACCTAACATTCTATATTCCAAGTATATTGTATGTTGATCCATCATCCATGTTAAGTGTTACCATATGAAACATCTTGTTAAATCAAGGTTATTTCTTTCTATCTGACACTTTCCTAAATCCACATTCTTAGCATCTGACAAATTTGATTTGACATAAATGCATGCAAGAATGAAACTACAAACTATAATTGATGTTCTGTGATGATAACAGACATAAAGTTTATACTCTCTGAACACTTTGATTTAATAACTTATGTAACTAACAGTGTCTTCCATTGGCCTACACAGCTACACTGTTGCACTGATGAGGTGCCTGACAATTGGTATTCTATGTGGCTCTTACAAAATTATAAGCATCTCCTATAATAGCTCCATACAAAATTAGGGAAATAGTTTTTGTTATAAAAAACTTATGTAAATTGACTGGTAAAATCAGAAACCTAGAAAACTTTTGGTAGAATGTAGATTGTCAGATCAACCTCAAAATTACCAAAGAAACTTTCAAAATGAAAAATATATACTCTACTCATTTATTATATCAAAAAACTATAATATCTTATATATATAATTAAAGAACATTCATGTGTCATTCAAACTATGGCTCATATTAGGCTTAAATCCAGACACTAATTTTCTAAAAGCAATTATTGTAATGGTAAAAGTTGATAGGACAAAACAGAAGTGCAAGCATATGTAAGTTGGTCCTCAGCATCAAGTACATATTGTCCAAAGTTTACAGACAGTAAGTAGTTGGAAAACTAATATTATGACGAATGAAGACAACATGGGGAATGTCAATAAATAAGAAGTTGAGCAATACAAACCATGCGCCTCCTTCTCCACATGTGTGTCCACAAATTTAATAGTTCGTTAGTGCGCAAAGGCTTTACTAGATAGTCTGCTGCTCCAAGTCTCAAGCACTTAACAACAATGGATACCTCATCTTGTGCGGACATCACTTATCAAAACAAGATATTCAAAACATTGATGAGAAGCAGAACATAACTTGCTTAATTTCAAAAGCATCAAGGGTTTCTTAACAAAATAAAGAACCAAGCTTACTTATAACAGGGATTCTGCGTAGCTCTTTATCCCGAGCTATGTACTTCAACATCTTCATGCCCTTCTTCATTGGAAGGTCAAGTTCAGCCAGTATGATATCTATATGTTGCCCTTCTGCATTTAGTGCATCAATTACCTGTCTCGCTGACTTTACTGAAGTAACTGTGTGAAGCATAGAAAACCAAGAGATTTACATATATAATCTCAGGGAAAAACCCATAAATTGCATAAGCTTTAAATCAAACAAGCCACACTGCATCGCATCGTAGGTATCATAAAGCATTCAATGAAATCACCACTTGACAGATTTTCACTGATAGAAAAAATTCCACGTGTTCATACTACATATCTTTAAAGAGAAAAAACTTGAACCTCAAAACCAAAAGCACTTGTGATGAATCTAGAATGCTCATAGCATTATACGCCTAAAAGTTGCAACAAGCACTACCCTGTAAGGTCTTAAACAACCCTATCTTATTCCAACCAAACATTTCTCGTGGCCTTATGTTTAATCTACATCTTCAACAAACGGGCCTCAAAGGTAAAATAGAAAAAGTGATGATATCAATTTTCAATAACTCGTTGAAATTCAATATAAGCATAGAGAATACAAATTTAGTTTCAAAAGGAACGATAGTTAAACTTGACTTGATGAAGTTTTAGTTTGACTAAATCACCCTTTAATAGTATTGTTGTCCACTTACCAATAAGGTCTGGATCCAAAATAACCTTTTTCTAGCAACAAATTCAAATTAAATTAAATCATCTTACCAAAAACACGAACCAAAAATAAAACCCTTTTCTGCCCAGAATATCAAAAGATGACATAGCATAATCACAGCAAATCACAGCAAGTGATTATGCAACATAAATCAACGTAACAGACCAAGTGAAAAGGAAGATAAAAAAGGAAAAATAAAATAAAAGGGGTTCAGTGTTCTTACCCTGATAAGAACATCTCAAAAGTAGCGTGAAAACCTCTTCAGAACTCTTGGAATCGTTGTCACATAACAAAATCCGCACTTTACTTCTATCAATGAAACCATCGGCACTCTTACCGTTATTCCCACCACCACCACCACCACTTTCTATGTTCAAATTAAGCCCTTCAGACTCCATAACAATAAATTCAAAAAAAAAAAAAAAACTTGTCTAACTCACCCAAAACAAAAAAAGCTCAAAGTCAAAACAAAAACCCAATCCCCCTCCCTGCCATCAAAACGACGACGCTATAAAACTTTGATAAAAACGCTCGTTCTCACAAACCCACTTGGCGAAACCATCGATGGTCCATCAAATTCAAAGCGCACAATCACCCACTTGCTCATTCCAATAAACGGCGACGTCACAGACGACGACGTTGTCAGGAAAAGGGATCAAACGGCAGCGTTTGGAGGGCGCACGTTAGCAGAGGGAGTGGGCTAGGCAAGGCGTTAGAACCTCAGGTTTTTGGCGTGCGAAAAGCGGTGCGTGAATTGGAATTAAGAAAGAGAAGAGGTTGATGGGGGATACTGGGGAGGGGTGCGCAGTGCGCCCTGGGCATGGCGTAGAGGAGAGGGAGACGTGGAAAGCGAGAGAGGAAATAAAGTGCAATAGAAAAAAAGAGAGGGAGTGGGTGTCTGGATAGTTGGGTAGAGATAGAGAGTAAGCCACGTCACCTGCAGATCTTCCTCATTCAACCAAATTGGAGAAGATATGTCCAAAATATCCAATCACTCTGAATAATAATACTAATAATAATAATAATAATAATAAATGTGATGAACTATAATAATTATTAAAAATGAAGTACAATTCTTTACTTAAAATATTAAAATAACCCAACCCCTTATTGTTAAAAACATTAATTAATAAATTTAAATATATTTTTAGTTATTATAATTTTATGAGATTTTAATTTAAGTACGTTTTAGAAAAAACAAGTTTTAATTTTTAAATTTAGTATTTTCAATATTTAATGACCAATAATTAATTAAAAAAATTTATATGTCAATTTTTATTTTATATATAACTTTTCATGAGTTGTGCCAACATAAGAAACTAAAGTTAAAATTTTATAAAAAATACAAAATTAACGGCTCATTTGAAAGAAATTGTGCATAATTTATAATTTTATAATTTTAATAAATTGTTTTATATGATTTATCAAAATTATTTTTAATTTAGTTTAATAAATTTTATAATTGAATTTATGATATACAAATTGTTTAAAAAGTTATTGAGTGAACGTTTAATTGTGGATCTAATTGCCTCTTAAATTATATTTAACTTTTTTTGCGAATAAAATATATTTAAATTTAATTAATGATAATGGAAATTAGACATGAAAATAAAATTTTATTTACCATTTAATATGATTAATATTTTAGGGAAGGTAGATCTCGTTGGTAGCCCAAAATATACATATATGGATAGAAAAATCATCTATTAAATGAGTACAAATTTAAAAAAAATGAACGTGGATAGGTACAGGCATAGGTACTTTAATACCCGCCCTACCTTACACTCACATATACGAAGATTTATATATTTACTTTGTTTATACATATTCTTTATAAGATTTTGATTATTTTTTTAAAAATTAATTTTTAGTATTGATTTCAAAAATCAACACATTAATCTTTTTAAGTGTAAAATGGTCAATTCTAACTAATTTAATTATAACCCATGCGTGTTAAGATAAAAAAATTTACAAGATTAAAAAATTCATCATGTGAAAAATTCACTTGACCAGATAATTCATAGGATTAAAATAGGTTAGAGCTAATTTACGGAGATACCTTTAAAAATTATTATAATTCATTAAAAATTTATTTTATATAAAAAATTTTATTATAAACATATAATTAAATAAAATTGTTTAAAAATATACGAAAAAATTTAAATTTGTATAATTTTAAATATTTAAAAAAATTACTTATCTTAAATAATATTAAATAAAATATAATAATTTATCATCAAATTAATTTATATATTTATCAAATTTTTGTTTGTATTATTAATCATTATTAAATCATAATAACATTTTTAATTCATATAATTTTATAAATAATTTCTTAACACATTATTTTGATAATTTTATTTAAGTATTATGTAACATCCTATTTTTTATTTATATTTTTTGTTTTTAAAATAGAAGAGTTTTATAAAAAAAATTCCTAAAAAAAAGATAATATTCCTTTTACCCCAAGAGAATATTCCTTTTAACTCAAGCGAAAAAATTTTACTCAAACAAGAATGGATCAAATTTTTTCAACTGTATTCTTGTTTAAGCAAAAAATCTTTTACTCAAGCAAAAATTCGCGATAGAAATGGGTAGCTCTCTGTTGTATTTTTGCTCAAGCAAAGTGATAATATTAGCAAAAGAGTAGCAATTTTTATTTGATTTCTCGCTCAAGCAAAAATTCGCAAGTTTTGAAGTGTATTTAAGAAATTTTGACTTCTACATCTTGGACATGCAAGAGGGAGAGTCAATGAAGAGTGTTGCACCAATCATTATAGGGAGGTCGTTCTTGAAGACTGCAAAAACAAAAATTGATGCTATGAAGCACCCATATAAAGAACATTTTATCTTCCAAATTAATTTATTTGATGATTTGATAGATGAACAATTTTCTGAATATTTAGAAGCAGATTTTTCTTTTAATTTTTCTGAATGTATAGATACTCCTATTTGTGAATATTGTAATAATTCTTTGATGCGTGACACTTGTATTTCTGACTTTTTAAGTGTGAATTCTGCAACTTCTAATATTGAAGAGATTGAAAAATTAATAGGGGAAGAATATGATGTATTGAGTTCAGCAAGTACAATTGAATCTAACCTATTTGATTTGAATGTTGTAGAAATTTCTTCCACTGAAAGTGTCAAATCACTTCCCTCTGTGGAGTAACATCTCACACTAGAGTAACATCTCACACTAGAGTAACATCTCACACTGGAGCTTAAACCCTTACCAGAGCATTTGAAATACGCCTACCTAGAGGCAAATGAAAAGCTCCCAGTGATAATTTCCACTAAGCTGAATGTTGAGTGATAAAGGGGCACAAGAAAGCTATAAGCTGGACTCTCGCTAATATTCCTGGAATCAGCCCCTCTCTATGCATGCACAGAATACCGTTGGAGGAGGGTACTAAACCAGTGAGACAGCCTCAGAGGAGGGTGAATCCCATCATTTTGGACGTGGTGAAGAAGGAGATCACCAAGTTGCTACAAGCTAGGATCATCTACCCTATCTCAGACAGCACTTGGGTTAGTCCGGTCCAAGTGGTCCCAAAGAAATCTAGACTCATTATGGTGAGGAATGAGAAAAATGAACTAATACCCATCAGAGTTTAGAATAGTTGGAGAGTCTGCATAGACTACTGGAGACTAAACCAAGCAACCTGGAAAGATCATTTTCCATTGCCCTTCATTGATCAGATACTGGAGAGGTTAGCTGGTAAGTCTCATTATTGTTTTCTTGATAGTTTTTCTGGTTATTGTCAAATTTGCATAGCACCTGAAGACTAGGAAAAAATCACTTTTACATGTCCTTCGACACTTTTGCCTATAGGAGAATATCTTTTGGCCCATGCAATGCTTTAGGCACATTTCAAAGATGTATGTTAAGCATTTTTTCCAGACTTAGTGGAGCATTGTATAGAAGTTTTTATAGATGATTTCACTGTATATGGCCCATCTTTTTTTGCATGCTTAGTTAATTTAGAAAATTTTTGAAAAGATGTATTAACACTAACCTTGTGCTAAATTTTGAAAAATGTCATTTTATGGTAGAATAAGGTGTGGTGTTAGGTCATATCATATTTGAGAAAGGCATTGAGGTAGATCCTGCAAAATTAAATGTTATTGCACAATTGCCTTACCCCTTTTTTGTTCGAGAGGTTCGTGCTTTCCTTGGCCATGCAAGGTTCTACAGGAGATTCATTAAGAACTTCTCCAAAGTTGTCATTCCCCTGTCCAAACTTTTACAAAAAGAGGCTGAGTTCAATTTTGATGAAAAGTGCAAAAAAGCATTTAATATGCTTAAAGAAGCCCTGACCACCACACACATCATCCAACCTCCAGATTGGACCAAGCCATTTGAATTGATGTGTGATGCATTCAATTTTGTGGTAGGAGCTGCCTTGACACAAAGGGTTGGTAAGTTTTCTCACATCATTTATTATACTTCTAGAACCTTAGATCCAACATAATGTAATTACACCACAACTGAAAAAGAATTGTTGGCCATAGTCTTTGCATTGAACAAATTTAGGTCATATCTTTTAGGGTCAAAATTTGTGGTTTTTAATGATCATTCTGCCTTGAAGTATTTGCTAAAAAAGACAAATTCTAAGCCCAGACTCATAAGATGGATGCTCTTACTTCAAGAGTTTGATTTGGAGATCAAGAATAGAGGTGAAACTCAGAATCTGGTAGCTGACCACCTGAGCAGAATAGAAGGAGTTATTAACCCTATTCCTCTTTTAGATGATTTTCTTGATGAACAACTCTTAGAGTTGTGTGCTTCACAAGCAACCTGGTATGCTAACATTGTTAACTTTCTTGTTGTAGGGGCCTTTCCAGCAGATGTACCAAGAGCTAAAAAGGAAAAGATAAGGAGTGATGTCAAATATTATGTTTGGGATGACTCTTATTTATGGAAGTTCTACAGTGACCAAGTCATCAGAAGGTGCATACCTAATGAGGAGATTCTATTCATACTACAGTTCTATCATGCCTCAGCTGTAGGAGGTCATCAAGGACCTTAGAGGACAGCAAGAAAAGTGTTAGATGCAGGACTGTATTGACCTTCAATTTTCAAAGACTTATGGCAAACATATTTCACCTGTGAAAGATGTCAAAGAGCAAAAGGAGTAATCACTTGAAGATAAGAGATGCCCTAACAGCCTATTCTATATTGTGACATCTTTGATGTCTAGGGTATTGACTTTATGGGACCCTTCCCTTCATCTTTTGGTTTTCTTTATATACTTTTTGATGTTTATTATGTCTCAAAATGGGTAGAAGCTAAGGCCACCAGGACTAATAATGCCAGGGTTATTGCAGATTTTGTCCGTAGTAAATTATTTTGTAGGTTTAGAATCCCTAGAGCCATCATTAGTAATCAAGGAAGTCACTTCTGCAATAGAACAATGGAAGTCTTGTTGAAGAAATATGGAGTTGTACATAAAGTTTTCACTACCTATCACCCATAAACGAATGGACAAGCTGAGCTCTCTAATAGAGAAATCAAGAAAATACTTGAGCGAGTAGTGCAGCCACATAGGAAAGACTGGAGCCACAGGCTTGATGATGCCTTGTGAGCACACAGAACTGCATTCAAGACACCCTTGGGATTGTCACCATATAGGGTGGTCTATGGAAAAGCTTGTCATTTTCCAGTTGAGGTGGAACACAAAGCTTATTGCTCGGAGGGCAAGTGTACCCATCGAGAAGCAATAAAGGGTTCTTAAATTGAGTTCCCGAAATATCGTCCCACAAAGATTGATTTTCAATTACTAAGAATTTCCTAATTCAATTGTTTAAGCTTCAAAGATATGAGATTAATTAAAAACAAGAATTTATAAAATCAATTATAAAACTAAGAGCAAGGAATGCAATG